GTATCTATGTGCATACATCTATTAATTTTATATAAAAAGAATAAATTGTATTCAGTGCATTTCACAGTCTCATTTATAGATAATGTAAACAAAAACGCCTGGACTACCACTTTGAAAACGTCGTGCAATATCCCTTTTGGTTGCCATTATTTTAGCCAATTTTTCGTATTGCCCGTATTACCGCTCGCGAAAACACAGAAATCGATAAAATTCATTTATGATGACTTACAATCATGCACAGTATATTTCACTTAATTTTTTTGTATAAAATTTTAATATTTAAACCCACGAAAATAACAATCGAAACGTTCTCCATCAACAAATTTGCAACTTAGAAAAACGTAACTACGATCGAAATGTAGAATAGGTACAATCGTAAATTTCGAAGATTGATCGAAACGAAACGGAACGCAGAATACCAAAGTTGCCAAACGGGCTGATTCAATAGAGCAGTATAAATGAGTGACCAAAATTATTTATTGTGTTCTTAGATAAACGTAGTAAATTAGCAAAGAAGCATAGATTCTCTCCTACTACGCACTAAATTATATCAAGGAACGGTAAGTTCATTTAAACCTGTAATTCTTATCGAAATTACGACTTCTTTTCCGTATCATTTATAGACGGATTGTTAACGCAGAAGGAAGCGAAACAGAAGACGAGAGCATCTCTAACAATGATTCTGATGAAGAACTTATTATATAATTATCATTGTTAGCTAGGTTAATTTTATGGGTCGATTACGGATAGCAACCTAACCACGGTTCGGTTGCCAGCTGACAACGCAACTGGAAAGAAAATGTGTAGTACGAATGGCAACTACCGTCAGTTGCTGTAGAGTTATCGATAATCGAAATTTGACAGTTCAACAACCAGCAAGCGGCTGTAAACAAGCTGTGCGAGGGAAATTAAATTATTAAAATAAAGAGTTTTAAAGAAAAGACAGCAATAAAGCTAAATTCATCACAAATATTTGTTTAGGAGGAAGAGAAATGCATGAACGCGGCCTCAATCAGGCGACACTTAAAGGATAATTCCAATCCTCTAAAGCTACCGCGTGTACTGTAAGCAAAAGTTAATGCATTCTTTTGTTATCGTTTTGTTTTAATTTTCAAAGCATATTGAGGACTGCCAAAAGAAGCTGTAGTATAATTGATTAATAAACAGATGAACCACTTCGTTCAACTTCAATACCTCCGCTCATACAAGCTTGCGCACATCTTCGATTTTTCGCAGAAGGAAGTGCCACAGCAATGACTCTAATTTGGAAAACTGGGTGTGTCGGTAGTTTTAAAAGAGGTGATTCAGTTGATAAAGGAAAAAATTTGCAATCAGTGTTCGCTTTTGTTTCGCCAAAAGGGCGTTCTCCACGGGAACTAAAATTTCAAGATGTTGGTTTGTTATTTTCACCATATTCTGTAAAAGCAAACTGCATTGCAAATTTTAATATCGTTCAAATTATTAAAAAGTAAAATATATGACACACTTTCCAAAAACATTCCCAGCAACCACTAAAATGTAGTCGCCTGTATACACACTTTGTAGCAACTGCAGTTGTCAGTTGAAAGTTGGCAGTTGCCATCTGTAATATCTTTTTGGCAACTAGCAACGCAACTGGAATTCGATTGCTATCGATAATCTACCCATTAATTTACGATTTGTTGATCATATCACTTTATATTCAATTTGATTGTGTTATTATTAATTATTCTATACCTGTTAAGGTTAAAACGCTGAAATTGAATTTAACTTTTTAAACAGGTGGCAACCCTCCTACATGTAGTTTAAAAATAAAGCATTTTCAAAAGAATTTCGATTGATACCCATATTGTAATATGCACATAATTCATTAACCTTATTAATTAATTTGAATATAATTTTTTAACAGTTGGCAACTCTTAAAAAAATATAAAACCTTATTGCAAATCTAAAGGTCAAGCCCTTTAGTTTGGCACATACATTTTGAAAATCGAATTAACGGTGTAGATCTGTTGGCATTAACAAAAAATCCTTAGCGTAACAAATATAACACGCATAACACTGGAATGGCCCCATAGATTGTATTGATATTGGTCTTATTTGAAAGTTTATACTTCCACATTGGTTCTATTTCATTTACGAGTCATGCTGTTTTTGTTTTTTATTTTTTCAATCTGTTTTTTTTTTGATTCTCGTCCTTTCCATGAGTCCTGTAATTGTGCAACTTCAGAGTCGCATTTCTTTGTAATATTCCCTTATTCTACAATAAAAATCATTTACATGAAAAAAATCGTTGTTTTATCTCACCTCTGAGAGGCGCAATTTTATTTCGAAATTTTTTTCCCCCAAATCGCCCTCTGTGCGCCGTCAAGAGAAACGATGGGTCGCTACCATTATTGTTATTACAAATTGTATTAATCGAAGAGGTGTACCGGTTCCAATCAGAAGTGATAGAGGCACTAACTTCGTCTTAGCCAGCAAAGAGGAACGGCTGAACGTTGAGCAAGGCATAGCAACCGAATGTAATCGTCGAGGCGTTGAGTGGATTTTCAACACTCCAGCGAATTCCTCTGCAGGTAGAATATGGGAAAGGATGGTATGTGCCGTCAAGAAAGTTCTGTCATTCGCTTTAAAGGAACGCGCGCCACAGGTCGTGGCGTTACGGAGTTTATTAATAGAGGCAGAGAACTTAGTAAACTCGCGCCCGTTAACCCACGTACCGATTGAGAGCACAGACGCAGACCCTCTCACGCCGAATCATTTTCTTTTGGGTTGCCCCAATTTCGTACAAACTGCTCCCGTTCCGCAAAGGGCGTGTCTACGGAAGCAGTGGCAAATAATGCAGCAATTAAAGCAAACGTCTTGGCAATTAAAGCAATTGGCATAAAAGGGTGAAACCAATAAGCGCTGGCTACGTAGTCATAGTGTGCGACGACAATGAAAGTAGCTGAAGCTCAGCCAAGCGCTTATGGACAAGTCCGATCAGTCGTAGTGAAGACGACTTCCAAAAACCTACGACGACCAGCATCCAAGATAGCAGTTCTTGACGCTATTGGTGCTTCTCTCGATGGCGATTCGAACCACGGGGGCAGAATGTTACTGTTTAAACCTTAAGAATTAATTTTTACTCTATCTAAACGTCGGTGATTTGGACGAACTGATTTTGTATGGAGCCCTTCGCCATTTCAGAGACGTACAATGACACGGATAAGTAAGACATATAATCTGCTAGTGAGTGAGTCGTATCGAATGTAAGTCGTTTTTCGAGAGTCGAATCGTATCGAAAATTTCACGTCATTGCCTAAAATTTCCACTCGACTAGTGTATTAAAACGGAAAAAGTTGGCAGCACTGCGAAGTTTTCGAAGATTTTCGTCGTTTACTTACTTCAGCACGACAGTAGGCAATGCCAATGTTGTCGGGTCGTACAATTTAGCCTAATTTACGCCTTGCGCAATGAGGCTGATTACCTTAATTAATTTCATTTACAGATACTAAACCACTCCCAATCAGACTTAAAACAACGATTGTACAAAACCGTAGAAACATGCAATTTTACATTAAAGCGCTTTCCTAATATATCCGTGTTATAATTTTAAACCTTGCATTTGTGCCAGCAACACTTATATGGGCAAAACGTCATATAAATTGGCTAAGGTATTCCAAAAGTATAACATTAATACAGCATTTAGAAGGACAATGTGGGGTGGATACTACGAAATAGTGGAAACGAGGAAGACCCACTAGACAAGCAAGGTGTATATAAGTTGACTTGCGAATGTCAACATAGTTACGTAGGACAAACAGAGTGCAAGATAAAAACAAGATATCGTGAACATATAAGAGACTACAACAAAAAAATGCTAAAACCTTCTACCACCCCGGAATTGAACTTCGCAAACCATATGGCAGAAAACCATTGTACGCCAATGAAAATAGGAAAGACAGCCAAAGTTCTCCATGTACAGCACAAAGGACAACGCCTAAACGTATTAGAGAATATGGAGATATACAAACAAAAGACGTTTGTCGGAAAAATAATAAATGAGCAAATAAACAAAGCATCTGATATATTATTCGAACGAATGGTTGAACGAAAGAATATAATCCGTACCTAATCTATGAACCAACGACGATTTAACACGGCTATAAATAGTGACAGACAAACAGAAACTATTCAGAACGAAAAATTACAGTGAAGATGGCACAACGCCGAAACCGGTTTGTCACCAAACCAAATTTGACAAGGGATGACGGAAAATCGTTCCACATTACATTAAATAAATTACTTCAATATGAATATAAATCAAAATTGCTTTGAAGAAACTTTATTTCCAAACTGCATGTAGAAGGGTTGCGACCTGGGCATGAATCACGTATGACGATAACCGTCTGACGATCGTTTTTTTTTTAAATAAAAAGTAAAATGGACATAAGCGTTGATTTATTTTACAACGATAAAAATGTTGGTACCAAAACTGATGTGCTGCGCATACGAAAAAGGCTTCGTGATCACTCGAATCCTTTGGAACTCGAATCCTTTTGCCTTTTTGCTAAACGAGATGGAGGAACATTTCCAGAAACGTGTGCAAGGAACGGCTGTACCTCCCATATTGAAATTATGTGCAACTCTCAGGTTCCTTGCTGACGGCAGTTATCAAAAGTGCAGTGGAAATGATTTAATGTTGGACTGGCGCAACCTACAATATCTGTAGTTATTAAGGAGGTTTTAAATATCATTGAGCAGCATATTTGTGGAAAATGGATTACAACCCAAATGACTGAAGAGGAGCAAAACGCGTAAAAAATTCCATTTTATTCAAAAAGCGAATTCCCCGGAGTAGTGGGTTGTATCGATGGAACTCACGTTTGCATCATTTCACCAAAAAAAGAAATGCAACATCTTTATCTAAACAGGAAATGTAAAAAGCAAATAATACTTTTAAAGAAAATGGTCATAACATCTATTTCGATTTCAAGCTTTGCGATTACAAAATGGCTATCCGGTATGTGGATGCTAGGCATGCGGGCGCAAATCACGATTCCCTTGTTTTTAACGTAAGCGATTTGAAAGAGCATCTGCAGAGAAACATACAGAGTAATTCCTGGATTTTAGGTAAGACTGGTCATTAGTATTTAATACAAAAATAGATTGTTTAAAATATTCCATATAGGCGACGCTGGTTACCCTCTACAAACTTTTTAATGACTCCTTTCCGCATGGCAGAAGCTGGTTCACCACAAGCTCGCTACAATACAATACACTCTAAGGCTCGAAATATTGTAGAACGTACGATTGGAATATTGAAAAGCCGATTTCGTTGTATTTTATCTGTGCGTGGCTTACATTATTCACCAGCAAAATCTACACAAATTGTGAACGCTTGCTGCGCTTTGCATAATAATTGTCAACACTTTCGCGTGGAACTTTCTAAAGAAATTGCAACCGCTTCATGTACGGAACTAAGCAATGAAAACCTAAACATTGAAAGAGAAGACGAGGAAGCCACCAGAAGAATTCGCAATAATATTTTGTTATCCATTTAATAGAAATAAAAAACTCTAATTCACATTTAATTATTTGTACTTCATTCAGTCTTTTTTTATTTTCAATGGTTAAATAACTTACATTTAATTTTCATTAAATATCACTTCATGTGCTTTTAAAATTAGGTTTCTCAAAATAGTTAATTTAAAAAAAATATCACTTCATGTGCTCTTAAAATTTGGGCTTTCAAAATAGTTAATTTAAAAAAAAAATATCACTTCATGTGGTCTTAAAACTAGGGATTGCAAAACTAATAATTAATTAAAAAAATATTACTTCATGTTGTAAAATTAAATTAAAAAATATTTCAAATTATTAAATTAAAAGCCTTTCAAGGTTTCTCACACAAACATCAGTTCTCCATTCACGAACTGTTCTCTTCTTGCAAATAGCCTCTTAATTTATCTATTTTTAATTGCTCAACCTCTACCTTCAACAAATGTAGTACATGGGCTTCCCTAGCCTGCCTTTCGAACAATTTATATTTTTGTTGCTTTATGTGCAGCAATTTTTTATTAATGTCCTAATTTTTGTTCGCCGTCTTTTCCATTCTATAAATTTTTTTTAGTACCTNCGATTTTGTACACGAGATGCTGACGAATAGGGCTGATCTTCAATGTTTGTTACCTGGGGCTCATCAACCATGGACGAAGCTGCAACTAAGCCGTCTTCTATTTCTTCGCCATCCATCACCGGTGGTATATTCTCTACCCCGAACGCCCGGCCACTGGGTGCAACTTGTTCCCTTATCTGAATAAGTTCCGCAACACTTTCTTCTAGTGGATTTAAAGAAACCTCTTGCGACGGACCACCACCAGTTGCAAGAATATTGCTGCGATTGTTGGCAAGCTTCCTTTTTAAATTTGCCTTGCGCCTTCGGTGTAATTCCATGATTACTTCTTACTCGTCCCCACTCGTGCGCAGTTCTTGTTGATGGTCCTAAACTGTTTAGCTCTATGGCAAATTGCTCCCACAATCCCTTGCTTTTACTTTTGCTGCTTGCCTCGTCCAGTTTCGGGATGCTTCTCCATCAGCTCAACTAGTTTTTCAAACTGTTGTTTCGTTGTAACTTTATTTTTTCTACAAATTTGTAAGAAATTCCTGATTAAGATATTGGTTTAAGACAAATTATAAAAATTTAATTACCCGCTTTCCATANTTTTAATGACTCCTTTCCGCATGGCAGAAGCTGGTTCACCACAAGCTCGCTACAATACAATACACTCTAAGGCTCGAAATATTGTAGAACGTACGATTGGAATATTGAAAAGCCGATTTCGTTGTATTTTATCTGTGCGTGGCTTACATTATTCACCAGCAAAATCTACACAAATTGTGAACGCTTGCTGCGCTTTGCATAATAATTGTCAACACTTTCGCGTGGAACTTTCTAAAGAAATTGCAACCGCTTCATGTACGGAACTAAGCAATGAAAACCTAAACATTGAAAGAGAAGACGAGGAAGCCACCAGAAGAATTCGCAATAATATTTTGTTATCCATTTAATAGAAATAAAAAACTCTAATTCACATTTAATTATTTGTACTTCATTCAGTCTTTTTTTATTTTCAATGGTTAAATAACTTACATTTAATTTTCATTAAATATCACTTCATGTGCTTTTAAAATTAGGTTTCTCAAAATAGTTAATTTAAAAAAAATATCACTTCATGTGCTCTTAAAATTTGGGCTTTCAAAATAGTTAATTTAAAAAAAAAATATCACTTCATGTGGTCTTAAAACTAGGGATTGCAAAACTAATAATTAATTAAAAAAATATTACTTCATGTTGTAAAATTAAATTAAAAAATATTTCAAATTATTAAATTAAAAGCCTTTCAAGGTTTCTCACACAAACATCAGTTCTCCATTCACGAACTGTTCTCTTCTTGCAAATAGCCTCTTAATTTATCTATTTTTAATTGCTCAACCTCTACCTTCAACAAATGTAGTACATGGGCTTCCCTAGCCTGCCTTTCGAACAATTTATATTTTTGTTGCTTTATGTGCAGCAATTTTTTATTAATGTCCTAATTTTTGTTCGCCGTCTTTTCCATTCTATAAATTTTTTTTAGTACCTCTTTTTGCGTTTCTGCCTGCATCTTTAGGAGCTCTAGACGCTCAGTTTCTAAATTGCAGCTTCTGCGGCGATTTTGTACACGCGATGCTGACGAAGAAGGCCGATCTTCAAAGTTTGCTACCTGGGGCTCATCAACCATGGACGAAGCTGCCACTAAGCCGTCTTCTATTTCTTCGTCATCCATCACCGGTGGTATATTCTCTACACCGAGCGCCCGGCCACTGGGTGCAACTTGTTCCCTTATCTGAAAAAGTTCCGCAACACTTTCTTCTAGTGGATTTAAAGAAACCTCTTGCGACGGACCACCACCAGTTGCAAGAATATTGCTGCGATTGTTGGCAAGCTTCCTTTTTAAATTTGCCTTGCGCCTTCGGTGTAATTCCATGATTACTTCTTACTCGTCCCCACTCGTGCGCAGTTCTTGTTGATGGTCCTAAACTGTTTAGCTCTATGGCAAATTGCTCCCACAATCCCTTGCTTTTACTTTTGCTGCTTGCCTCGTCCAGTTTCGGGATGCTTCTCCATCAGCTCAACTAGTTTTTCAAACTGTTGTTTCGTTGTAACTTTATTTTTTCTACAAATTTGTAAGAAATTCCTGATTAAGATATTGGTTTAAGACAAATTATAAAAATTTAATTACCCGCTTTCCATATTCGCTTAAAAATTTGTTCAAAACAACTGCTAGTAATGAGTTGTCGATTTTCGATACTTTTGTCAACCGAACTAGTACAGGGTGGTAAACGGAAATACCACAAAAAAGTTGTAAGACGATATAAATACAACCAAAAGTTTTTTGACAGGTTGAGTTGTTATCGATAATACCAAATTGTAAGTTTTCAACTGTAGTGGAGTTGAGTTGTAAACCGTAATAGGGGCATTAGTGTCGTTTAAAGGAAAAAAACAGGTACATATTTACATACATATTTATTTTTTTTTTTTTTAGTAGTTTTTTTAAGACTGGAATTGAAGAGATAGCTTTAATCCTTTATCCTTCCAGGAAAAAACATGCAAACACATTTTTTGATATCGTTTCTGACAGTAATTTCAGCCAATTTGTTCGATCAATTTGTTTGCTTCAACTTAAATTCCGGCTTTTTTAGTATACATATATCCTCCTTGGATTCCTTAACGAAGGTGGTTATCAGAAGTTGACTGAAAATTGCGCTTGGATTACCGAAAGGAACTAATTATTCATAATTTTAATGTTTCAATTAGCCACCGACATAAAATCAGAGACTTGGTCAGCTGAAACGACCTATGTAGTATATTATGCGATTTTTATGTTAACTAAAACTCACCACTGCAGAACCGTGATGTTGTCGTTACCCTTCTTCTCTTTTTACAAAGTCCTTTTAGACGATGAATTAAAAGATGCATGTATTTTTTAACAGAAATGTTCTTAGAGAGTATTGTAAACGTTCAAATATGCTTTAAATTTCGCTAATAAATTAAACGACTGTTATTTTATCACCAATATTTCTCGCTACATTCTGTACCTAAGCGCCCGTTATTGTAAAGAGAATATTCATTATTTTCTCTTTACATTTCTTAGCCTCCACATCTTCCAACTAAAGCACTATCTATGGAAATTTTACAAAATGTATTCACAAATATTTTGGAGACCGCTATACCGACCATTGTTTAGCTATCTTATTGCAATAAAATATATATAAGAATAAAGATAAAAATAAGCTATAAATAAAAATAAAAAAAGCTTGTAAAAAATCCTTATCACTATGAATTGAACCCGAGACCAACAAAGTTGTAATTGAAAACGATCCATTCAGCTACAGTAGCTATTTACCTTGTTTATACCTACGAAAGAACCGCATTAACAAAAAGCTGATTTGACTCAACACATGTTTCTTTCAAGTATTTATACCTCGGTCTTTATGGCGCACTCGATGAAGCCGTATTCAAAAGCAAACCAAATCTGCTGTTTTTACACGACATTTCTTTAATAACTAACTTGCGCGGTTGACCGATATGGAAGCGAACAGTAATTCGAATTTATAATAATAATAATTCAAATTTAAAAGGGGATGTATAAAGAAAGCCAGCCTTTTTTCACTTCGCGTCAAATGAATGATGCGTTTATACTTGTTTCCGAATTAAAAAACCGATTTGAAAACAAATTCGGGTCAATACACTTTTGAATTTCTGAGCGTATTGAAATTTGGTGTATGCATACGTTTTGAATCACGGCGAAGTGGGTTAAAGCGCTTTATGTGTCGGTATAAACAAGGTAATTGACACAGTAGGGGAAAAATGAATTCTTGAATATATTTTCAGAATTTTTATTTTATTAAAATTTCAAATATCGAAGTTGCACAAAAAAAAATATAGCGATTTTCAAACTGTTGACGACACTACGATAGTCGACGCGATAGTAAGCAGCAAAAATACAGGAATCAGTGTTTTGTCAATATCGTTTGAACGACTATCGTGTAAAAGTTACGTAATGCATGCCCAGAGCTTTAGCAATGATTCGTATGAATAAAAATATTTTCCATCATTTTCCAGGGCAGTTAAAAAATCGTATAATTTTCGTCACAATTTCGTGTTTCTAGTTCAGCTTTCGTCACTGGAAAATTTTACCTCAAAGATGATTTTACGATTTACAAAATCTATTTCGGAGGATTTATAACAAAGAGGGAAAAATTTGGCGCTCGACGATATAACATAAATGATGTGCTTCCAGCAGCTTCCATATGAATCATTTAATACTTTGATTACAATATATATACAACGATACTTTGCAAATCGCACCGATTTGAAATCGTACGATTTGCACAACATGCCTGTATATTTCAATTTATATTGATTTATTAAATTAAATTCAATACAATCAAAACGAATGTTTCATGTACAGTTTTTAACTTAAATGTGATCTTACTAATATCACGTATTCTACGTTTAAGTTTAGCGGCTGTGGCTCCGACACAGCCCGCAGGTCAAGACGAAGGACCTGGACTGATCCTTTTTTAATAAAGTTAAAAAGAAACATGGGTTTTGACCTCTTTAAACAAATTTTCGCTTCTATAAAACGCTAAGCGATTGACTTAAAATTGTTAATAGTTATGTCTTTCAAATAAAAAGGAAAAAATATCCGATCGGCGCTCAACAAAGAACGCATTTTTAAACTTTCCCATAAAAACTAGAGCTGCCTTAATGTACATATCGATGGCTGAGTGGAAGATCGACCTATCTCGGCAGTCAGTTCGAAAACGCCCTATCTCAGAAAACTTTTCAAAAACGCCCTACTTCAGAATTTGATTGAAAAACGCCCTATTTCAGAATATTGTTGAAAAATACCCTATCTCAGAATTTGGTTGAATAACGCCCTATTTCATAATTCGGTTCAAAAACGCCCTATCTCAAACGAAAATACATTGAAAATAAGCTGAGATAGGGCGTTTTTGAATCGGCAGCTAAGATAGGGCGTTCTTCAACCAAATTCTGGGATAGGGCGTTTTTCAATGAAATTCTGAAGTAGGGCGTTGTTGAAAAGTTTTCAGAGATAGAGCGTTGTTGAAAATTTTTCTGAGATAGGGCGTTTTCGAACTGGCTGCCGAGATAGGACGATCTTCCACTCAGCCATCGATCTATGCATATTTATTCGCTGCTTTGCACAAATTAAATTTGAAGCGTCTCCAGTTATTTTAATAACATTGCCTTAATATAACCTTTCATTATCCGCACGGTTTTAAGAATTTTTAATACATACTCCAGTTATTTTAATAACATTGCCTTAATATAACCTTTCATTATCCGCACGGTTTTAAGAATTTTTAATACATACTTCTGCAAAACAAAATTTTGACGATACAGAATTTTGAACTACACCACTTCGCAATAATGAAGTTTAGCAAACAGAATTTCAACAGCCAGGATTTTAAATTCAGAATTGATAATAAAGAACCCTGTACCATTAAAAATTTTTTACCCAACCCGAAATTTATTTCTTAAATAAAATAATGTAAAAAAAAATATTTTTTAAAAACAAGCTTTTATTTAACATGTACAATAAATGGAATAAAATAAAGTAGTGTAACTAAAGATTTTTTAGCAGGAAAATTTTGTCAACAATGCACTAAAACGAATAAATAAAATAAGTTAAGGTCTCGTTAAAGTTACTAAAAGCCATTTAGTGAAAGGAGTTACTCAAACTCTAATGAAAATCACTAACAATTTGTACTAATTTACTTCGTTTTTAAAAAAGTTTGTCGCGCGAATAGCAAACCGGCATTTAAATATCTGCATACATACATATTAGGGATGCCAAAATATCAGGAAAATTGTTATCCCGGGATTTCGGGATATTTTTTAGGTAATCCCGGGATGCCGGGATAAATCCCGGGATTCAAATTGAGTCATAAAGTTTATGAGTAAATTCAATGAGTAAAAATTCAATAATAATTTAAACATGTCAATAAATAAAACCATTTAAAATTTACGATAAACTGATTTAAAAAATCACATATTTATTAATACAGACAAATATTAAGGTAATTCATTTTTTAAATTGTATTTAAAAAACCATGCGATTGAGGAACGCATACATCACAAATAAGAATATAAATACCAGGTACTTTTGAAAGTAACAGTTTAAAGAAACATTAAACAAAAAAAATAGAAAAACAAAACATCTAAACATTTTCATTCTACTCCGTAAAAAAAAATTAGAAATTAGGTCATTGGTAGAGCTTTCCGGCCGGTATATTAAAAAGTCAAACTGTGTTTCCTCTTTCTCCTACGCGATTCGGCGTACTTCACGCCTTCATCAGGGAGTATAATTTATTGCATAAAAACAAAACATAATACACACAATAAATAGTCGTGCCTATATATACTTTGTTACAGTTTTCGTTGACTTTACCTTTGCATTGGATTTGATAGACCACATTATGTAACAAAGTATACATAGGCACGACTAAACGAGCGCTTGGAGTCAGAAATAGTGAACACCAAGCAGACGCGAAAAATAGGAAGACAACAGCACTTGCACAGCACTTGACGAATAGCGAACGCATGGCAGATTTTGAGAACACCATAATTTTGGACGTGGAAAGACGAGAAAAAACAAGATTAACTTTGGAGAGTCTGCGAATACAGGAGAGGATAAGGGCCGCGATGAACTTTAAAGAGGACGTTGACAATATAAACTGTGCGTACCGGACGGCAATACAAAGTAACAACTCAGATGGGCGAAGACAGTGACGTCAACAAAAGAAAAGTGTTTAGTTAAATGTTTTGCGTTTACTGTAATGTAAATAGTTACACTAATTTAATATGTAAGTGCTATTGTGATAAAAAAGATATGTATATGTATATGTATGTATAATTTCCAGTCATATGTAACTATGTCTAATTGTTGTGTGTATTATGTTTTGTTTTTTTGCAATAAATCAGACTCCCTGATGAAGGCGTGAAGTACGCCGAAACGCGTAGGAGAAAGAGGAAACACAGTTTGCCTTTTTAATATACCGGCCGGAAAGCTCTACCAATGACCCAATAGGAAATTTTAACACTGGCATCAAAAAACAATCAAAAATAAGAAATCTTATAACTAAAGTCATATTAAAAAAGATTAATTACTATTATTGCTTTTAAAATGAGAACGCAAGAACACCAAAGCATTCAAGGTGGAGTCTTCTAATCTGGACCTAAACTTATTACATACAAAACCTGCTGATGAAAAGCATCTTTCGGACTCAACACTTGTCGGTTGAACTGTCAAAAGGAAGTTATAAGCCATTTGAAGATAATAACCTCTATCTCCTCCATTACAAAATATTTCAAGTTCTTTTACCAGCACGTCGGATAAATTATAACTTTTTCGATTTGTGGAAGTTTGAGTAGATTGATTCAATAAATTATGAAATTTTTCTTTAAAACTTTCGTTTACATTAGTGATGCTATGAGTACATTCATTTAAATCTTCTTCAAAAATACGCTCAGGCTGTAATTTTAAAAGTATAGTTATAAGCTCTTTTTTAATTGTAGGCAAAGACGGCTATTTACAAAAATCATACTTCAGCTCATATATGTTAATAGGATTCGTTAAAAAGGAGAAAACGTCTGACATAATCGTTCGACGCTGCTTAATTCTTTTAATAATTTCCGAAAGTAAAACCTTACTTAAAAAAAATTTATTTTGTTTTATTTCTTCTAGCATTAAGTGTAACGCTACATCGAATTTATGTAAATTCATCTCTCTCGAGAATAAAGCTTCAATAGTTCATTTTATGGGCTGAAGTATGCTGACAACTTCCTTAATAATTTTAATTTCGGAACTTTGTAAATAAGTAATTTTGAGATCAATTCTTGCTTTCCTAATACTTGTTTCAAGTAAAACAAAACGCTGCAACATTTGTAAAAGACTACTCCATCTTGTTTTACAGTCTAAAATAAGCTTCAGCTCTTTGTTATGTTCAGTTTTAACATATTTCTGCAACGCGTTGTTTTTCGTGGAACGTTTTTCTAAATGAACGCACAATTTTACGAACTTTTGTAATAATTAAATTTAAATAAAACTTTTCAGTGTATTTAACTGGCTCACTACCATTATAAATAATAAGACCATCATCTTCGTCTAAATCTTCGAAATCGTCGTCACTATAATTGCAATCAGCTTCGTCTGAAATTAATTGAAAAATATTTAAAAACGATTAAATAATACCAATACAAAGTACTTACTGAGTGTTGTAGGTCTTGATTCAATTTTATACAGAGCATCGATAATTGCTAGTTGGAGACCGTGCGCAAAGCACAGCTGCTGGTATGGTTCTCTAAGCCTTCCGACTTTAATCAACGTACTTGCTCCATCCGTTGTTATAGCTACAATATTTTGGTCAAGATTTAATTGAAAATCAAGTAAACGCTCTTGCAATTTTTCGACACACACTTCAGCTGTCATTGAACATTTATAACGAACTAGACCCAAGTTTTAAAATTTTGATTTGGAAAATATGTTAATGTTTAAATGATGTTTATTTGAGATGGACGTCCACTCATCAAATACCAAGCTAAATCTTTCACCGTCTCTATAAAATTTTTGAATTCCTTCCACAACGTTCTTTTGAATACCTTTCCGGTAATTAAGCACCATACTTCGAATCGTCTCCCGCGATCTAGGTACGTGGAAACCGTTTGAAATCATCAATTGTCGCAAGACAGCCGACTTAACAAATGCTGAAAAGGTAAATCCGTCGACTGCAGTCATTCGCGCTAACATAGCCTCAAGAGTATTTTAAGCTTTACTTGGAAAAAAGTTTACAATCTTTTGCTGCTTGCAAGGAATATGCTCGGGCGACTCATCACGTTCATCTCGCTAAGGCACAATGTTTGAATTGTGTGTTTTTAAATGCGTGTGTAAGCCCTTAGTTTCGTTTGTAAGATTTTGTTGCACTTTTTGCATTTGGCTACCTCACTTTTGTCTCTAGTAACCAAATAATGATACCATACCGACTTTGCATCGTTTGCCTTTGTTTCGTGTGGAACGAATGCTGTAAAAAAACAATAAATTTAAAAACTCAAATGTAATGTGGGTTTTACTTACACTGAGCATTTGAGCAACTGGCGGTTTCACTTAATCCCTTCTGATTTTTAGCTTTGTACAAAGTCTTTAATTGAATTTACGAAATTAATAAGCAATAGTTCTGTGAAAATCAGCTGTTGCATATATTTTCCGTTGACAATGTGGCACCCTCATAGCTTTTAGCAGGGCAAAAAGGGGAAATTTTATGTTCGACTAACCGGCCATTTACACGGTCAAGAGATTGCTTTCAAGTTGCAATTTTAAGCATCTTGAAACTGAAATTGAAGCTGTAAATTCTAGTGAATTTTAACAAGCAGTATGTGTGATCAACTTGAAAACAAATTCTTGATCATGTACCTGCACAGTAAATGTTAACCAGCAGAATGTTAACCAACAGAACAGCAGAAGTCGATTAAGTAACATTTTTGAGCTAACTGTAAAAATATAAGTACATATACATATGCATATATGGTTAAACTCACAGCTTTCTTATACACTAGTAAATGCTTTTTTTAACCTCATTTGTAAAAATTTGTGAACAATAAAAGCTTACTCCGTTCAACTGAATGAGTTGATTTATTTGTAAACAAGCTTATACCCGCAGGTTTCACCCCGCGCTTTTATACAAATATGAAAAATAATTTAATGATGTTAGATTTTATTTCTGTGCCCATTCCGTTATAGCTCGTTATTTTTTAAGCGAGTTAAGGTATTTAGGCCGTTTAAAACTATGAAATTATAAAATCTCGTCTGCGCGCTAGGCCTACGAAAGATATCAATCCCTCTAAGTTTACCTTAAAATGGTTCCAGGTATGCGACGCGTGAACGTGTAACCTTCTTGGAGATGCCACGGCGGGTTCTAATATTTCCTACTCAAATTTAGTAACCTGGCCTTGATAAAATACCACTTCTCATTACTGTAGCAAATGCCTCAAGAGGGCTTTAGATTATAAGGCCGAACCCAGCTCTCCCTTTTCCATTCAATGAAATTTATTCTGTCAGTACGGCACTTATAAAATAAATCTCCATAACAAATTTAAAATACTTCGAAAGATTTTCTATCCTTCCAGAGATATGTATTAAGAAGGTTTTAGTATGTATGGGAGGCGACATGCTCTCCTTTTTTAATAATCACATTTTTTCCATGAGCAATTGAAACATTTTGTATACAAAACTCCATACCAAGTTCACAGTATTCTTCCACAAACACTTCCAGGGATATGTGGCAAGAAAAAGTACAATTTGCACTGAGAAAGTGCCACGCCCCTTTTTCTTATACCCTAATCTTCCTCTATGAATTTAGAATTGATTTTACATACCCCAGTACCAAGTCCAGTACTCTACCATGAACACCTCTAGAGATAAGCAGATAAAACAGTAAATTTGTACGGGAGGATCCATGCCCCCTTTTCGAATAACGCAAATTTTTCTCCATGAGTATGGAATTAATTTTGTACAACACATCTCGGTGCCAAGTTCCACGTCCTCTGCAATAAACACCTCCAGAGATATCAGCATAGATCAATTTGCATGGGAGTTGCTCACACCACCTTTTCCTATAACTCTCATTTTTCTCCATGAGTATGGTATTAGTTTCACATACATACATACATATGTATTTCCATACCAAGCTTGAGTGCTTTACCCCAAACATTTGAAGAGATATGCAATATGAAACTTTCAGTCAGTATGGGAGGTGCTACGCCCATTTTCCAAAAAGTCCATTTTTCTCCGTGAATATGAACATGATTTCACACAGTGTTGGCAAACTGTTAATCTGATTAACGATTAAAAATTAACGATTAAGATGTTAATCGGGTTTGACGATTAAAATTAATTAGTCGTAATTAACTGTACGATTAATAACATGTTTTTAATCGTTAATCGCTGGGTGCGATTACGTTTAATTAATTTAAAACATAATCGTTAATCCAATTAAAAATAAAATCTGATTAATTTGTTTAGTTTGTCCGAGTTTGAAACCAAACACCAGTTATAGTAATTATTTTGTGTTTTACGCTTATAAAAAGCACATAATATAAAAAAATTATAATTATTGTTATTAGTAATACATAAACTGGGAACTTTTACAAACCTAGTTTGTAAAACGTTTGTTGGTATATATCTTAATGAAAATGCACACCAAATTGCTTAGATTGATGAGGAAACCCGACTTAGCCACACCGGATTAACTTGCTTTGTGTGCACAGGGAAATTCCAGCATAACTTAATTAATCACCAAACCTACTTGATCAAATTAAGAGTTAATGATTAAAAATAATTTTTTTAATCGCGGTTACGATTAACTGTTTGGTCAGATTGAAATTAGTCATAATTAACTGTAATCAGATTGAATTTAATCGAATTAACTAACTGATTAAAACATCAATCGATTAATGCCATCATTGATTTCACATACATATCACTATACCAAGTTTCAGTTCTCTCCCACAAATACTTCCAGAGATATGTATGTAATATGAAAATTCCAATTTGTATGGGAGGGGCCTTGAGTTATCGGACTTACTTTCAGTCTAAGACCATCCTTCCGAAATCCGTAGTAAGTGTACTAAATTTCGTTCTGATCGGAAAACCGGTTAAGGAAGTAGCCTATTTTTCAATCCAGGTCATAAACCATCTTTGAGCAAAATTTCATTTTCAGACAGGTGGCAATTGTTAAAAAAGTAGCCTATTTTCCAGTCTAGGTCATAAGCTATCTGTGTGCAAACTTTCATGCAAATCAGTTCAGTCATTTACGCATATAAATTTAATTAAACTTTCCTAATACGTCATAACTCTTAAAATGGTAGCCTATTTTCCAACATAGGTCATAAGCTATCTCTGTGCGAAATGTCATGCAAATCTGTTCAGTCGTTTCCGCGTATTAATTTAATTAAAATTTTTTTAACAGGTGGCAACTCTTCCAAAAAATTAGCCTATTTTCCACTGTAGGTCATAAGCTAGGCTATTTTTCAACCTAGCTCATAAGCTATCTGTGTGAAAACTCATGCAAATCAGTTCACTCATTTCCGCGTATTAATTAAATTAAACATTTCTAACAGGTGGCAACTCTTAAAAAAAGTAGCCTACTTTCTAACCTAGGTCTTAAGCTATCTGTGTGCAAAATTTCATGCAAATCCGTTCGGTCGTTTCCGCGTATTAATTTAATTAAACTTTTTTAACAGGTTGAAACTCTTCCAAAAAATTAGCCTATTTTCCACTGTAGGTCTTAAGCTATCTGCTTGCAAAATTTCATACAAATCTATTAAGTCGTTTCCGCGTATTATNCTGTGTGCAAAATTTCATGCAAATCCGTTCGGTCGTTTCCGCGTATTAATTTAATTAAACTTTTTTAACAGGTTGAAACTCTTCCAAAAAATTAGCCTATTTTCCACTGTAGGTCTTAAGCTATCTGCTTGCAAAATTTCATACAAATCTATTAAGTCGTTTCCGCGTATTATTTTAATGAACTTTTTTAACAGGTGGCAACTCTTAAGAAAAGTAGCCTATTTTCCAATTTAGGTCATAAGCTATCTGTGTGCAAAATTTCATGCAAATCCGTTCAGTCGTTTCCGCGTGATGATTTCCCAAACATCCAAACATACAAACTTTCACATTTATAATATTAATTAAAATTAATAATTAATAATTAATAAGATATTGCGAAATGATGCAGTGTTCAATTCAAATCAATTTACGCCATATTATATAACTGCAATATAACAAGTTTCTTCGAAATTTAAAAGATTTCATTTTAATCAAATTTTGTAATAAACCAGTTCTTACTTTCAATCCGATATTTAAAAATTGTCGTGATCCCGGAATTAATACAAGCAAATTGGCATCCCTAATACATATATGTACATACCTAACCTATTATGCATGTACGCTGAATTCGCCGACAAGCTTTTTTAAAAAGTAAATTATTACAAATTGTTAGTGATTTTCATTAGAGTTTGAGTAACTCCTTTCACTAAATGGCTTTTAGTAACTTTAATTATATCCCAACGGGTTTTACCCTCCATTCCCGCCCATCCGCACGAGGGGCGCAGTCCGCATGACGTACGGAACCAATATTTTAAATTTTTGTGCCGAGTCACGATAGGCAGGAGTTTGTGTGTCGAGATCTAAAACTGTTCAGCTACAGAACTAAATTCATCAGCTGATTTTATGTATTTATGTCAATAATTCACTTATTGAGAGAGGAGAGTATCGCTTTCTTAATGCTGAAAAGCGGATCTGATATATCAAACGTGCTGGAATGAGAGTTAAAATCCTGGCATAAGCAACGGAGTGGGTCGTGCAATTCAAAATTGGTTTTACAAGCTTTCAGAAATATGGGACAAAAGTGTCTTGATACGCGTGAGGGAACATTAAAGCTTACATCAGCCAGAAGAGACGGACTTGAAATTGAGCCTGTCAGTAATTTAACCATAAAAATTATACCAAGCATTTCCCTGCGACTGGCAAGTGTAGGAAGGTTAATAAGTTTTAAGCGACTCGTATAAGGTGGAAGACTATATTGAGAATCCCATCGGAAATTTCTTAAAGCAAAAAGTAGGAATTGTTTTTGAATTGATTCTATCTTGTCTGAGTAAATTTGATACCTTGGATTCCAAACCCCCGAGCCGTATTCCAGAATCGGCCTAACTAATGTTGTAAACAGGGTTTTAGTGATATAAGGGTCACTAAATTCTTTTGACCATCGTTTCACAAATGCAAGTACACCTTTAGCCTTGTTGACTGTCACATTAATGTGAAGATTAAAATTAAGCTTAGGATCCATTGTGATACCAAGGTCCACAAAATTGTATACCTGTTCCAGGTTATGGTTACCTACTATATAAGAAACTGGCAGAACAGCTCTTCGCGAGAAGCACATTACTTTACATTTCTTAAGATTTAGAGGCATAAGATTTACTTTACACCAGTAAGCCATGCTGTTTAAGTCTGATTGTAGCAAAGACCTTTCTTCAATTGAAACGTATGATTTATAAAGTTTTACATCATCTGCATACATTAAAATTTTGGAGAATTTTATATCTGTAGAAATATCGTTTATAAAA